GTATGCCACGGCATTTACTGCAAAGGTGATCACATGACGTACATCTCTACGAGCAAACACCCGGTACCATATTAACTCTTGTGATTTGGTATCCCTATAAACCACGACACCGCCCAGGTTTCGTTTATTTTCATAAGTTAACGAAATTGCAGAAACTGATTAATGAGATCCAAATGACCTGTACAACACACCGTGTGAGGGAAAAAAACTAAACCATCCCTATTAAACCTCTGTCTCTAAATCCAATCGCACGTCTACCTAGAACCTCCATAAACCGCTATGTCAACAATTATGATGCCCGCAATAATGAGCCCCCGAGTCCAAATTTGGGGTTATACAGGATCCTACACCAATACCAATTCGTTTTGAATCCTTTTTTTTACAGCAGCTTCCTGATTTTCTGCAATTGTACTTTTGTAGCTTTTGTTATGGCAGAGGCAAACCCGAGAGGTCTAAATATATCCTAGAGTGGATGCGGCCTTGACTTTGCAACTCGGGAAGTACGATACCGTTGTGCAGGGCTTAGGTTACCCTAAAGAAAATTATTCTCACCAAGCTAGTTCGAACCCACTGGGTCAGCACGAATTGCTGTGTTTACAGAATTAGCAATACCAGTTATGGGACTTAGTGAAAATGCAAGTTTCGGTGTAGACGGAAGTTCCAGCGGAAACCAGCCCGAATTTCATATGCTGCTGCTATAATATTAAAAGCAAGCCCCACACTAGGAAAAAGAGATAGTGAGAAGTGTCGATATGGTTGACCGGTGCCTATCGTTTGATATCTGTGGTGAAGATCTCGGGAGCGCTGGGGAAAGAGCGACGGGGACTGTCATCTGGATTCGAACAATTACGCCAAGAATGTCCAGATGCGACTCCGCCCTAACAGGTTTCTTCTTTTACCCATTTCAGCTTACAAATTGCTTTCCGTTTATGTTTCTCTTGTTAAATCCAGTGGATCGATCGATTTAGGTGCAAGACCAGGTCTTAAATTTACCCATACCCATGGCGTTCAACCCATCATGAGTTTTGGCCGAGCGGCTCAAAGCGCCAACGAAAGAACCCTCTTTCCAACCCTGTCCGATGCCCCCAACCCCTGCATATCCTTCCAAAAACGGAAACGACAAGCCGAAAAGGAAAACCCACTAGCAAGTACAAGTACATGTACGAGTACTCGGGTAGAATGCTTGTATTGTAACAACAAAAAAGTGAAAATAAATACCCCGATTTCTGGACCAATCCAGCCTCCAAATAGAGTAGTTAAGGGTACGATACACTGAGCAACTCTCATCCCTGATTAAAGAGACAAGTAAGCAACCTTTACTGTCTTAAGGTGTGCTGGCTCCAACCGAAGAGGAAAAGTGCCCACGAGCACAACGGGAAGAAAAATACCAACAAGCTTGGCGAAGACAGGGGTTTTTGTCAACCAGAGGCAGTGACTATCCACTCTCCATAGCCCTAAGAGAGAAAGCGCCGCTATGGAAGCAGGTAATTCATTAGCGATAGGACGCTACGGTAGTAGCCATAGTGTTTTTGTTTTTTTTTCCATAATGAGGCTCATTCCAGAAGCCTACGAGGCTCGAGGTTTGGTCTCACGGGTCAGGATCGTGAGTGTGGACCTGGTGTCTTACCCCGCAGCCACCTTCCCAAGCAGGAAGGTGAAAAGAAGGGACTGGAAAATGGTGGAGGTAGAAAATGATTTTTATTTTCTACGGAGACATTGCAGCCAGCGAAGAGCTTGTGCCAACTTGCACAATGGGTTACCGTACTCGAGTGCAGTATGATACCAGTGCCCGGGTACGGCCATAAAATATCGGAAACCAAAAGCGGCAAACAGAGACCAGATAGATCGGGAGAAAAAGTTTTTCTGGAAGGGTCAAATGTTACCAGACATCTTTAAAAATGCATGTTGCACTTGGTGATATCATACTTGCATAATATGCATCGAACATAAGGGGTAAAAATAGCAACCACGGGTAAGGAATGGAGGTTCGCCGCACCACAAGATTCTAGCATTTGTTCCCCCCCCTTCCACTTTCTTTTCTTCTTCCGCACATCACAGGCCCCTGGACCGCCGATCGCCATTCGCGTTTTCCATATTCTATCGCTGGCTGCTCACTAGACCATGATAGCCAGGGGTACAGCAACCGTACGGTACCCTACCCTATCCATTCGAGCCACTTTCCGATCTCTTATGGCCACACCCGAGTTGGTTGGCACGGCACCTTCCCCGGTTTAGGCGCCCGGGCGAACGAGGCAACCGACCCTTCTTCCCCACCTAGGGTACAGTGCCGTAACAGGGCGGTACGTACCGGTAACTCAACCAAGCCAGCCAACCAAAAAACCAACCCACCCAATGATTTGCCGACCACTGGGGGGGACAGGAACCGCCAAGATTTCTCGCCACTGCTCCACTTTTCTACTTCCCCGAATACGGTATTTTCATGTAAGCGCTGTAGGATTTGGTCTAGTTTGGTGAAGGAAAGGGGGGGGGTCGCCACAAGTGGAAGCTAAAAGGGGAAAAGAATGAAAGAGAAAATGCTTTCTTTTTTTGTCCCGTGGTTTGCAGTTCTCGGGTATTGTGGGGTAGACTATGTAGCTTTTTGTTTTTTTGCTTTTTTATTATTTACTCTTGGTGGTTAGGGAGGCGAGTGCGTGGATGCCATTGAGGTGGGTGACGATGAGCAGGGAAAAATGGGTGAATGGCGATGGGATGGCGATGGGATTTGTGATATGGATCATCCTACAGTAGCATACCATACTTGTATCATACCGCGACGCGAGGTTCTCGGCCCAATCAGTTAGAATCACTCCCCCGACACAATGACACCTTTTTGCTTGTTTATTTCCTATCGAGTGATGTCGCGTGAGCATACTAGGGAATTGATTCCTTTTTTTATTCGTAGCGCATCGGGTGCGCAAGTATATACAGCGGAAAGCTATTATGACAACACTGACGTGATATATCACGGATAGATCAAGGGCGGATCCTCAATGTGTTTTTTTTTTGGCATTGATGATGTGACTTGATCCATCCGTGCTGCACAATCGTTAAAAGGAAAAAAAGAAACTTCCCCTTCCCAGGAGAGAAAAGACCAGTAATCCAATAATTATCGTGTATCGTGCTTTGCTTTATCGGTGGACCGACGCGGACAAGATACCCCCGCCCCCCCTCCAAATATCCTCTTTGCTGTACGGAAAAAAAAAAAATAGTAATCCCCCATTTCGCATTACATCTTGGAAAAGATGGGGGTGACGATGAAAAAAGTACACGGGCTCTCAGTAAAAGAGAGTAAAAGAAGAAAAAAGTCCCATTCAGAAAAAAGGGAATAGTTATTGGAAGGAAAGAAAAACCATATAGAAATCATAGAAAAACAACAGTACTCCTCCCCCCTCCCCGTACCCTCCCCACCCATTTCCCCCTTCGTCCGAATCAAGTATCGATTTGGGTTGCTACACCGAATATGAGCGCATTCAGAATAAAAGCACAAACTAAGAGATAAACCCAAAAGAGATCTAAGAGTGAGCTATGTAGTAGGGGCCATGAGAAGTATGGAGGGATAAAAAACGAGAAAAAAATAAGAATATACAAGCCATTGAAGAAAAAGCTAACATAGGACTTTTTTATCCTGTAAACATAAAAGGGAAGAGGAGGGGGGGGGGGTAAATATCAAGCGGCAGAGCCTAGACAGTGCATTCGACACTGCCCAATAACCCGACGCCAGTTGCGAGAGCCTCCGCTTCGGCGCTTGTAGCAAGAACTGAATTCAAAGCTTGACCGAGCAATGGTGTCGCGGCCGGGTGTCCTGCAACTAGTGCTTCGAAAGTTTGGACGGTGTTTTGTGCTGCACTGGGAGTGCCATTCTTCCTGATTGATCTCCTAACGCCTACCCTCCCGGAAACCGAGGTACCACTGGTGCTGCTCATTGAACTTGAAGCTTCTGCGTCAGAAGGCGGTTTGGGTGCGATCTCCCTATACGTCCTAGGGGACGTAGCTACAGTTATAGTAGCAGACTCAGAGGAACTCCCGGATGCTAGTAATGGGGTGATTGCATCCTGGATAGCCTTCTTTCTGGGGCCCAATTTCCCCTTGTAATATTTGGCACGAATGGTCTTTCCAATTTTGTAGGTCCTAGTAACACGGGGCTTCCCACCGCGATTGCGGATTCTCTGGCGGGCAAAGTCGGATAAAACCGCTTGGCCAGGAGAAGACGCCACACATATAGATTCCAACCCCTCTATATCACTCTGATCATCGTCTTTTTCGGCCACCTCGGTTTCCCCAACCTCCTCAGCTCCCTCGACTTCCCCAACTTCCTCTTCAACATTCCCTGACTCCTCGCTATCTTCCACCCCCTCCCCCTCCCCCTCCCCCTCCTTCTCTTCCCCTCCCTCTTCCTCGTCCTCCGAAAATTCCTCCGGGGGTGGGGGAGCAGCATTGCGAACCACCCTACGAACACGATTCGAGCTGGCTGTTACTGATCTCTGGATTCTGACGGTTGTTTTCTTTACGGTAGCTCTGATAGCACCCTTTCCTTTGGCCGCCCTTGTGCTTCTGGCCTTGGCAGGTTTGGTGATTTTTGTGGTGGTCACAACCCTGGTCCTGGCTGTCACTCTGCCCTTGGTTGAGGCTTTGCCCTTGATCGCCACTTTGCTCTTGGGCGCAACTTCAGCTCTAGCTCTAGCCGAAGCTGGTTTACCCTTTGACGTAGCCCCAGCCTTCCCTTTGGCCTTACCTTTGCCTTTGGCAGGCGGAGACGCTCTCTGAAAGCCATCGGCTTTCTTCCCCAAAGCACCGCGGCAGTTGTCAGCTCCACAGTGACAAGTCTGCTGGCTGACACCAGTAAACCAATTGAAATTGTAGTCGTATGTGAGCTCCTCTCCGGCTTCGATCCCATCGTCTCCGGCAAACAGTGCCATTCTGGGTCTACCTTCGACTAGCCTATGAGATAATTAGCTTATTGTAAAAAGTCAGCGGGTTTCGATCCAACTCACCACTTCTCCATCCGACAATTGGGATCACATGAATCTATATCCAAAATATATATTAGCCAATATATTCAATATCTAGTGCGTATTTAGCTGCCATGGCTCTAGTTCGACGAAAAAATCGCATCAAACCTAAACATTGGTTCAAGACAAGTCTTTCTTTCTTTCCCTCTTTCTTTTTTTGCAAAGCTAACAGCGACACGCAACCTATCTTTCAACCCGGCAAGAATCATACTCACGATTGACAAATCGGGCGACCGAGCCTCGGGTTGCATCAAGTATCATGTTTTGGTGAAATAGCATAAGGTAGTAATTCTGATCCGGTAAGTATCCGGAATGAGCGTATGTGGTGGACAGGCAACATACCTTATTATCCTTATAGACCTCAACCATTCTACGCTCGCTCTCTTCCTGGGTAATAATTTCACCAGTGTACTCCACGATGATCTGATTGGGCATAAAGCTCCTTGTTGCCCTCAGGCCGTGACCGCAATTGGCAGTCTGATCGCATCGTAAAATCAGCACCCTGAAATTCTACCCTATGCCCGGCAGAAAGAAAAGTGTACCTTGACAACTTCAACCCCCTCCGCAAACTTTGTGCCTGATTTCACCCTCTCCTTGAGGTCTGCAAAAGCTCTGTTTGTGCAGTGCTCAACTCCGACATTGCAGTTGCCTTCATCACATTCTACCCAGGTACACATATTGAGGCAGTTCTCGTCACAGCCGACGTCTTCAGCGCAAACGCACTTGGCTGTAGAAGCTTTCTCTTTTTTCCAATGGGAGGCGGCGTCGCCAATCAAAACATCTGTGTGTTACACAATCACACGCAGGTGTCGTTAGTCAATTGTACTATCCTATTTATCTTCATTGGGATCGTGTCCATGAATCTACGGAGATGTGAAAATTCAAAAGAGGGTGGTGTACTATGATTCAATCTCCTCCAGTCTGGAATGGGTCCACACCTCCACGGACTGGGTGCAAACACATTAAATGGGAGCTTGAAGTCCCTTTCGGTTTCCATAATCCTCGATCCGGTAAACATGGGCAAGGGTAGGACGGACGGCTTTTTTTTCTCCATAATTTTTCCACGTTTTCTCGATCCCCCAGATGGGCGCCTTGTAACATCTATGTCTTGCTCTTGGCCCAAATATAGACCCTGGTTCAACCAGATCTTCTTCCTCTTCCTTGGATTCGTAGCCAGGGCGCCAGATGTACTATGGGTTAACGACAAAGCCAACTGCTCATCGTGCTTGTCCTCGTCATAAGACAAAACCTTCCTAGCTCTCTTGCTGGACCTCGGAGCACCATCTTCGCCCAACTCTTTTGAGGGGACAGCGGAGGCAACGGTCGGGGTAGGGTTCTGTAATTTGGGACCGGCACTCTTGGATCCAGCAGCCATTACCTCGTGTGATCTCTTTCCGCGCGGTGGAGCAGGTGTTGTAGTCGCAGCAAGCTTTGCAGCAGTTGCAACTGCAACCTGTATACGTTGACTATGGCGACGCGTCGCATTCGGCTTAGCTTTGGAGACATCAGATGTATTCGGGGATTTCGGTTTGTCTGCTAATCTGAGACTTCTCCTGCGAGCTGCATCTGGCGCTGTCTTCGACTCCTTCGTAGATTTAGTAGGGGCTGGCGTTGATGGTGTGCTTTCCCCGACTGTACGGGAGCGATCCCTTAGAGAACGCGTAGTGCGCGTTTGCTCCTGCGCCCCGCCGCTGCTATCACCGCGCTCTTCTTTGACGTCTTCGGTAGCATTCCCAGCTTTATCAGCCTCTATTGGCCCAGCTTCTGGCTCCTCGGTTGCTCCGACATCCGATTGCTCCGCGTTGATTGGGGGTAAATCTTTGCCGGAATCAATGGGTTTGGAAATTATAGCATCGTCTGGTAAAACAAGGGTTTCTCTGTCCGGAGTAATGGACATGCTGGTCGCGACTGTCGACTGATTGGTAACGGAAGTTGAGACAATAGAAGAAGCCGAAGACGCCGGTTGCGGTAAGATCGAGTCGCTTGCTCGGCCCGGCGAAGGAGAACAGGGAGGTGAATTTGTCCACATTTTTTCTGAAAAGGTACTACAACGCGAACACCGTAGGCGAGAACAGTGTTGGGGAGAATGGGGGTAAGATGTGAAATGGCGGGATAGGTATAAAAAAAATTACAAGTAGTGAGTGAGACAGGGCGAGGTTTGTGGGGAACCCAATTGGGTGAAGTGGTGGGACGGGGGTGCAAGGAAAGTTGAGAGGATGACGGGAGGCGGTGGTGTTGTGTGGCCGGAAGGGAGGAAGGGATGAGGGAGAGAGCAAGAGCACGAGAGTGGAAGAAAACAGAACGAGGGAAGAAGGCGAGAAATTAACCAAGACAACCACACGAACGCAATAAGGAAAAAGAAAACAAGAAAAGAGATCCCCTCTTCTCTCGTCGAGTGAGCTTCAGCTGCGATCCGCAGGCGGAGGGAAGAAGGAGGCAAAGAGAAAAGAAAGAGACTGATCGAGGCGAAGGAGGGAAGGAGGGAGGGAGAGAGAGGCTGGGCAGCAAGAGGAGAAGTACAATGCGAGCATGTCACGGTACCGGTACATTATGGTAACGACCGTAAAGATTTGCTCCACTTAGGAGGGCTTTCATACAGGTACAGTACTTCAAAAGGCGAATGGGGGTAAACTTCCTAACCAAACCCGTCCTTTTTCCCATCCTAACGTGTAAATCAGATACCTCTTTCGTCCAAGACTCCCATGTAAACTATGGATAAGCAGTATAAACCTTCCTCCACCTCCTCCTCTTCCCACGGTATTGGACCCGAGAGGGCTAAACGTAAAATACTTCCTTCTTGAAATTACTCCAGCACCCTAACACGCCTTCCTACCAAGTTCAAGTGGGGGTGAAGCATTACAGAGTCCCTCGCTAGCACGACTACATCAATATCGCAGACAGCCCACCAGATGGAAGCCAATATTTATAACACTGTGAACGAATCTCACCCATAGCCCTCCTCCTTTTATCCCTTCCCGGCTGTGCTGAGAAGGAAGGGTTGAGGCTTTATGGCATTATTGCCTTTCCCCGCCGCCCATTTGCCAGTCATATCGAGCGTACATACCAGTAAAAAAAAATAAAAGGGAACTTTATCCCTCCCGCGCCCCCCTGATCACAAAAGCTTCCAATCAATCAATCAACCGAGCAGAACAAAGTAGACTGGGGGGATTCCTCGATCCCCATCCATTTCCCCCAAAAAAAGGATCCCCAAAGTGAGTACGACCCTCCCCCCCACCACCACGAGCGTGTGAGAGGGAGCCGAAACTTCCTGGGCCAACAAGGGTGGCACAATAGAATTCCAGGAAGGAAATTCTCGTAAAAACTTCAAGAGTGACGATACATACTTGTATCTAAGGCAGAAAAAAAACGTTATCAACCATGTGCTTCTCACGCCGAAGGCGACGAAGACCAGAGAGAGGAGGGCGAGAGTTGAAGAAAGGAGGATTACAGCAGTGCTGGAGGAGCAGGCATATACAAAGCGGAGACCCTCCAACAATCCCACATGGTCCCTTTCTCCACTCTCTCCCTCTCTCTCCCCCAAAGGAGAATACCGCTACAGTACACCCCCTCTTTCCCTCCAACAGTGCTTGACGTATATGATACATCAAGCCACGTGCAAGATACGGTAGCCAAAAGATAAAGCAATCAAAAAAAAATTGCAGGAAATAGCATAAGCTCCCAAGAGAATCAGGAGCCATATCTTTTCCATCCGGAAGAAAGGAGAGAGTGGTTTCCGCCGTGAAAAGATTACAATCACTTTGTTCGCAGGGAACTTACCACGGGGGCAAGGAGAGAGTGTTCATGAAGCATTAAAAACTTCGACGAGCGTTACGGCAGAGACGGGGATTCCAGGCGAATATTTGCGAAAAGAAGGCACTACATACACATACGCCCCCCCCCCTCCTCCTTCCCCCGCTCTGGCGGCGGTTACGGTTGATGCTCCTGTGTGCTGTTTGTTCTTGTCGAACACCACACAAAAAAGTGGAGAATTTGGACATGAATTTGAGACATTGTGCTGCACGTGATCAGTATGTGAGCCATAGAGAAGTTGACGTTTCAGCAGGAACATCAAGAGAGTTGGTTTTTAAATAGAGCGTCCGGTGGCTATTCAGTCGACCAGATGTATAAGATAAGGGATAGGACGAGACATGGATCTCCAATAGAAAAAAGAACGATATATTTCCAGAAATTTATTCTTTGAATATATCTTGTTCTCTTCCGAGATTCTGCGCTTTGGTGGGAGAGGAGGGGGTTGACGAGAGATTTCAGAGGCCCATACATACCTGAGGGAACTGCGGTGAGTGGCAGGGAACGCGAAGAGTGTCCACTGGCTTCAATATCCGAATAAACTGCCAGCGAGTAAGGGCCTTCAATGTTGAACGATTCACGACAAAGGGGTACAGGAGGTCTCCCAGAGTACGCATAGTACAGTAAGATTTTCACTATACGCCGCCTTTTATACCGGCATTCCGGGCACTTCGGCAAGAAATCATCCTGCGCAGTTAGCAATGGTCCTTCTCAACACACCCAGAAGTTATGGGAGCCTACTCAAAGGCTATCACTATGCACGATCAGTCGGGATATCGTACTCAATGTAGTGAGTATTTGAATATAATAAGAGGGAAACTTTGACCATTGAAAGTCCTTATCACCGACTTCATTTGTTGTAACCCGAAAACCAACACTCCGAGTAACAATGCATGCCTTTCGGAACAAACCCACGAAGAAAACCCGGCCAAGCCACCCCAGAAACCCATATCACCAGAAAGGAAAAAACTGCTATTCCCCGAGTAAGCTTGAGGCCCAACGGAAAGAGACATCCGGAATCCGAAAGCGGTTCCCTAGCGTTCCGAGTCGGGCTGAATATACATTCTGGCCTCCACTCCTCACCAGCCCATTCCACCAATACACAAACGACAAAACCAAAGCATTCCAGTCTGAAACGGTGAGCATCACAATTCCACACCCTGTCCCCCTTGTGGCGCCCATTGGATGATTATTATACCCAGCGCCAAGAGAGTTACGTTAATTACCGTCTTATTGAAGCGTTTTATACGATGGATGGAGAACGTCGAGACCACCAGAAGTTCGCCACATATTCATTCTTGCACCAGAGATCCCAACCTCCTATCAGAGGTTAGATATCAGTGATACCTTACTCGCTTGGATAGTCGTGTCCGGCTGCATATATCACGCGGACGAGCCGGGCATAGAAAATCACTCGAATCATAGCCTTACTTATGAATGCACAAGGCTGGTAGGGTTATGAAGGTGTATGGCCGGTATGAGCTAGTGTAGCTAGACGGGGAAGCACAATGAGCCCACGGGGGCACTATTCGTGGGCATCGGAGTCGTGCTTCCTTTTGTTCTGCCGTGACTCAAATGTTTCCACCCGTAGAATGCAGATGGAGGCCCCCTCACCCAGAGCATAGAGTATCAATTTTGGCCCAAATTTTCCACCATAATATATGAATGCCATGAGCTTCGTCCTTCAGGACTGCCCTCGTAGTTGTTCCGGGGAATGTTGCCCGACATTGATACGGGTACCCGGTCATATCTAGGTGTGGAGTGATATATCTTGGCACACGATACTGTCCGGAGCTGTGCATAAATAGGGGAGTGTTTATGTTTCCAAAAAAAAAGAACTTTATCAAGAGAAGACTCGTTCTGAAAATCTCCTTCACGTTTCCCTCACAACTATGTACGGTAGCGTCCCTGGCATCCCGTATTGCGCCAAACCGAATACCTCGCCCGACGTGGAGAGGCTTGTGGCACCTCTGATTTCACCGATTTTCACCGATTTTCGCTCGCTGAACTCGATAGGTGGGGTTTAATCAGATTCGTAAGATATTCTCATATATCTTCCCCTGGTTCCTGTGTGTAGAGAGTTGACTTGGAGAGCCGGGTCCTGCGATAACTCCAAGAGGGAGTATACTCAAGCAGGACAGCTGGAAAGAGCGATAGAGGATAGAGGAAAGACCATCCCCAACGATATGTGATATTACAGTCGCAGCCCGCTGCACCGGACGGGAAAGAGCTTGGGTGGGTTATCGGGGACAACGAAACTTCTGGGAGAGTGAAATGGTCGACAAATCCCCCAACTCGAGTGACGATTGAGCAGTGATAACTGACGACTACCGTATTAACTGGACAAATTGAGTGTCCCGGTGCAAGGCTCTAGTCTCCGCTCTAAGCCAGAATTTTTCCCTAGAACTTCCGGTATCACACTGGGGAGAAAAGGAATGGGAAGGTTGCTCCAAGTGCTGCGGAGAAGCCTCGGGTCCCTGCTAACCTACGATCAACCCCAAATCCGCTTATCCGAGGAGACCAAACTCTGCCAAGGCTCTGCTCGATTTGTCGAGTTAACACGGTACCAGTACTCCATATCGGTATCATTCTTGTATTCTAAGGTGAAAATGAGGAGTAGAGTAGCAAAATAAAATACATGAGGAAGGAGCAATAAAGTGTCTAATTTTCCTATCCCTGAGTCCCCCCCGGACCCAAAACATCCACCGTCATCATGGGAATCAACCTGAATCTTGGAGTCGGTATATCGGTGGCTCTACCAGTAGTGAGGGGGAGGATTGGGAGGAGGACAACGGAGAGTGGGATAAACTTGAGGAATGTGCCATATAGTTCCCCACTGGGCCGGCTGCCAGAAGTGCTAATACCACCCATGAATATTTATGAAGAAGGAACTGATGATGATGACGATGATGATGATAATGATGAATACTGTGCCTCTAGGGGAGGGAGTCTTTGCTATATTCCCCGACAACACGATCCTTCACCTACCTGATTGTTCCGAAACCCCCCGCTGTGCCGGATGAGATTCCTGGGTTTGGCCATCCTGGATATGATACAGCGGAGGGGTGGGGCTGTGCCCTATTTTCCCATCAATATTTTCTGCGGTGCCTCCCACCCATGCGCCCTAACCCGCAGCATGTTGAGGTTCTGCGTGGGCAGGCAGCCAACCAATCTAACCGAACTAATCTGCTATCATCAGTCAGTACGGCAGGAGGCTGGCCCCAAAAACGGTGTACGGTACAGTACAGGTACTATAGTACTTCACGCTTCCAGTTCAGTGCATGCCGAAGCAGTAAAAATACTTGGGCTCTCCTTGGCTGGAATGAGCGAAGGAGCACCCTCTACTGGACTATGATTTTTCTCTTCCATTTGGCGCTATCCTCGTTTAAGCATTCTGAAATACACCGTTTTAAAAAAATACGCTCTATTTTTATTCAGTGGCGTGTCAAATAAGGCCATAACAATTTGATATTATTGCCCAATACTACGCTCAAATGCTTCCCCAAACACCCACAAATAATTAAGGGATTGTTAATTACTTTGGCAAGCAATATTATGAAGTTGAGGTCTGGAAACGCATCAAGCCTCCCCATTTCCCGTACTCGATTGTCAGGATGCGTCGAGGTTAGTGCTCCGACCTAGCTCTCTCGATAGTTCCCCAGCCAGCTCAGAGCTTGGAACCAAAGATCTAAAAGGGTCCAAAGGTAATATCCAGGGAATTACTTTATGTATAGGTGAAGATTTCGTTTGGATCGCTTCACTGAATCAGTGTTGGGGGGTCGCAGTTTTCAGCGGAAAACCCGCACACTACTCATCTTTTTTGGCGCCGGCATCTTACCGTATTTTACAGCACATATCGTACACAACTCCCTAACAAAGGACTATCACTACAACACCCGAAGGCAAATCCTACGATCATTCACGGAAATGAGGGTGTTGGCTATCTCCCAGGTAAAGTTCATGGTATCACAAGACCTCACTCGACTACCCGCAACCGACAAAGAGTCTCTTTCTCTTCTCTTTTCCTTTTGTCAGTGCCCCCTGTACAAAGATACAGCAAATTAGATGTTTTGGCTAGCATTCAAGCTATAGATGCAATATACTACACTTCAAAGTCAGTTATACAAATACAGATAGATCCCCACCTATTCACCTCCCGTCCCATCCCTCCAGCCACCAACCGCCCCAACAAATTTAATGCGAAAGAAGGAAAAAAAGTAAGAAAAGCGATGTAGTATCAGACCCTTCAGTGACATCCAGCAAGAAAAAATATGAAAGCAGAAAAGTTGAAATGCGTGAGCTGCAAATGTACGAAATGTAGATGTAAAGGAAACTAAAGACATTACAATGTTAAAATTGAGCCATCAGGAAGGGAAAAGGCGAAAAGAGCTTGAGTAAAGTGAGTGTGGGAAATTAAATTTAAGAATTTAGTGTTCGCTGTTCCGCTACTGGAACCGGTTCATCTGCTCTATCCCCAGATTCGCCTATGTTTGCGCTTAGCTGCTGCTGTTCCTGTTGCTCAAAACGCTGGTCGCCAATGTGGTAAACACTCTTGAGCTGAATGTATCTGTTTCTCGTTAGCTACTTCGCCTCTAATCTCCGGAGGGAGGTGGATAACATACGTCGGAGGTCGAGGTCTGCATAATACTACGACAAAATTGTAAATTGCGTGTATTTGTGCAAATGGTCTATGTCGCTCACTTCTAACAAACTTGTGGCCGTGGAGAAATTCCCTCGTTGTCTCTCCTCTTGTCATCAGAAATACATGGTATCCGAGCAATGCTAAAGGATAAGGTGCCGCGAGAGCGCCATATATAATCATCCCAAAGGGAATCTGCCACTCCCTTATTGCATCGGAGAATGAATGATTCGTCTGTTTTTTCCACTCGTGGAGATGTACGAGAGATAACGCTAGGAGATAAAATGCCAACATGGTAGCAGTTGAGACAAATGCGAAAAAATACCGGTAGTTGCGGCGTCCAACACAGTTGTTAAGCCAGACACAGTGGTGATCTTGAGTTTCTATGCAGTTATCGCATATACGACAATGATGACAGCGAGGAGGGCGCCAAATCCGACAGGTCCGGCAGTATTTGATAGGGACTTCTAGATGCACTTGACTTGGCTTTGGCGGTTTAATTAGTGCCCAATCATTGAGCGGAGGCACAGCTAGGGCATCATCTACATCGTCTGCTTCGAGAGGATGAACATTTCGTGGGTATATCTGCCGGATATTAGCAGATACCAAACGGATTAAATGACAGGTGGGACCAACACCGGGATCTGATACAGCTGCCTTGAGAAATGACATCATACACAAGAGATACAGATAACCGAACGTCACCGGCAGCGCCGGTGAAACGTGTTTCCAAAGCCATTTCGCACTGAGTCCTGGTATTAGTTTCACATAATCTCACTCGGGTTAGAGATACTTACGAGTAGCCACAAAATAGACATGCCGGCAATGTTACCAATATCGCAGTCAGAAGGTTCATCGGTACGTCTCGCGCTGTTTGGAATCTCCCTCCAAGACAGAAAGCAGTCTTCCCGGGGAAGTGCTGCCAGTTCTTTTCCCTGTAGGATTGCGGCTGTTGTTTCGGCTTGGCTACACTTGAGCCCCGACTTGAGTTATCCAGCTTTGGTAGTTGATTACCACTTGAACCGTTCACAACAACCCTGTGACCATTGCCGACGGATTGTCGGTTATCGGGGGAGGAGTCAGCAGAGGTATTGAGGGGCGAAACGGACGTTATTGACTGAGCCGTATGCATGGTGTGGCCAGTTGGAGATCCAGAGCCTGACTGGCCGTATTGGGCCCGATCATCGCTAGCTCGGTGTTGATGTATGATCGGTTCATGCATCGATAGCCCCAATACCGGAGGCTTGTCGGTGACCCCCCGGGCAGCCTGCGCGAAACCCCGTATCCGATTCTGCTCCGCCTCGTCTTCCTCCGTGACTTTCCCCCGTTGCGCTTGCAGCTTTGTAGAGCTCATTGGTCGGTAAAATGCGTGACTTGTCAACGACGGGGCGTGAGTTCTCGATGCGGATGACGATGGTCTACCCCGTTGGCTTCCCCCAACCGACGATAAACCTCTCCGAGAAGGCGGAGGATTTGAATATCCTCTCGCAGTCGTAGATGTTGACACAGCCGTACTGGGTCGAGTCGAGAAGGCATCGGGTTGTGGATCGCTTACGGAGATCCGGGTATTAGCGTGTCCTAGAGGGGGTTGAAGCGAAGACCGGCGAGAGGAAACATTTTGCGATAATTGCGCCTCGGCGAGACCCATTATGTCGGAGGCACTGTCGCTAACATCGGTCATCCGGGAGGATATTACGCTGTACGCTCCTCCATCGGGTTGGTCCTCATTGATTTCGTGCAAGGAGAGGGGAAGGCCGCCGTGTGTCGGAGAATTGAGAAATACAGCGGACAGGGGTGAGCCTCTCGGGGAGGCCATGACGAAAGGAGCGACAGTTTAAAAGGGTTGAAAGAGAAAGAGATGGAGAGGATCGGGGAGGATGGCAAGGGGTGAGGGTGAGGAGGATTGGGTGTTGTAGGTAGTACAAGTGTTAATAAGCAAGACTTGTGCTATGCTAGCGTTCTGCAAACAGCAAACGACGGTACCGGCACGGACACGGTATCGTACTGTACGAGTAGTCTACTGGGGGCAGCCAAGCAAGGGAGGGGCTTAGGGTTAGCTCAATGTTTGCAAACAAGCTATTGACTCGCATTATTAATCTCCTATCATAACGCGAGCGATGTGGTTCTCGGTTATCAGGAGGAAAATAGAAAGTTCGTTGGTTTCTCTTTGGGAGGGGGGGAAGTGCGGGAGCCCGAAGGGAAGCCGCAGAGGAGAGCACACAAGAAGGGAGCAAGGAATGAATGGTGAATGTCATGAAAAGGGAGAAACCGAGGGATGACAGGAGTAGTCTAAGCAAAGGGCGAACAATGTACAAGGAAAGGGGCATGATAGTATCGATATTGTTATTTATTTTCCTCAGAAGTTCTGAAGAGGTTTTAGTCTGCAGTGGGAGTGCTATCGGTATCCCAGGAGCCCATTAGCAGGGAGGACTCGAGAAGCAGCATCGCAGCGGTTTGCAGAATAGGATGTGCCATCCCATTCTGCCGATGCCGTGAAGTGTAGTCCGGTTTTCTCCCCTGGCACCACATTACGTTACTGGTATCGTGCGAGTACGATGCTGGGGTGTGCCGTACTGTGCGAGCAGAAGAATGGGAACGGCCCTACCAATGGGAGGATGCGACATCAGGAGTGTTGGTGCTATGCTGTATTATACGGTTCGGTGCTTTGTGGCACTGGTACGGTACAGTACTGCACTGCATAGACTTCTGACCTTGAATGGGGCTGCTTGAGTGCCAGTGCTCGAGTACAGTAGTGCACACTGCGTACGATAGGCTATCATGCTCCATTATGCTTGTACCGGACTGGTACGATGGGGTTGGGGGGAAAAAATAATTGTGAGTGCTGTAATCAATGCGCTGTGCCATACTCGAGAACATTAGATACCTGTATTGCAAGGTCTAGGAAATTTGCCATACTACCGTGGCAGTCCAGGCG